ATAATAATATAAAATGGAGTAATAAATATGCCAAATAAATCATAGCAAAAGTATAAATTAAAAACTGGTTATTAATCAGTATTTTGAATTTATATATCAATGAAACCTAAAGTTTGTGTATTCTTGTTTGTTTATTTAGCCCAACATTTTTGTCAATAGCCAATCAGCATGTTATATTATCACATGATTAAATATTGAATATCACGTGATGGAGGCATGCCTTTTGGTCTAAAGGCATGCACCCAAGCATGCCTTATACCTCATGCCTCCAACCCTATATATTATAGAGACAATAATCAGCTATTCGTCAAGCTTGGGACTCTATATTTTATTTACACTAGCTATTATATACATGTGCATATATTTAAACAATTAATTCCAACAAGAAATATCACTTCCAACTTTGTATAATCAACTCTTGATAATTTTTATTGTCAATCATTTCAAGAGAACTGCGAGTTCAGATACCAAAAATGACCATATAATTATTTATTGTTTAACAAATATGTATAGCTGTATATTAATAAACATTACGCGTATCATTGCTTTCTATAGAGAGATTTTTGTTGATCAGTAATAAACCCTTTTTCACTTTTTTAATTTGTTTCAATCTCATATATTGTTAATTGATTTTTTTTATTTTTTTTTATTTTTTTTATTTTTTTTTAGAGTTAACAAATCTATTAACAGAAATTATCACAGAGATTAAATTGCAACCTGAAGCAAGCATCACTATCTGATGTTCGTACAAAATTCCAAAGGATATTAGTTAATAGAGTGAAGATACTAAAGATGATTTCCGCTTAAAGTATTCTTTTTACAATTCAAGCATTTAAATAAAATTTAATTAATAGCAACACATTCTTTTTAAAAACATTACAGCAATATATCACTGGGAGAATGCTTCACGTAAATTATTCATTAATTCACAGTTTAGCTAGTCGATCATTTATAAAATGTAATATATATTTCTACTCTCTATAAAGCTCATTTTTTGGGGTTCACACTGTGTATTATACTTTATTTATTTATTTATTCCTATTTATTTTTTTTATTTTATTATTTTTTTTTTAAAAAATTTTTTTTTAATACTTTTTTTTTCTTTTAAATTATTTATTTATTATTTTCATCAGTACCAGGGTTTCAAAATAGCTAAGGACAATTATGTACTTCCTACTGTTCTAATGTCGCTTTGACTTGAATCTTTGTTCAAATCCTAACTAAATATCTTGTTTAACACAAATTCATATAGACTCACAACATTATAGATACCATCCCATATTAAAGGTTTATACTATTGTATATTCTGTCTTTAAAAAAAAATAATTGTTTGATATATACACACTTTATTGTTAGCCAAATATACATTCTTGTCCTAATTTATCAGCACCCCTTTTTCATTTAAACTTATAAAATTTAATTATTTAATAAATTCTTATTCGCTTCTGAATCTATCCAAACCAATAAAGAACGATCTCATATTTGCTAACAGTACCAGTCAGTTATTAAGATACAATTACAAATTCGTACTTGTTACCTGAAACATTCTTCGAAGGCATGCACAATAATTTTTCAAACATATCAATGAGCCAAAGCATTATTAATACTATTAATGAATTTTCTTTTTTTTTTTCTTTTTAGTAAATGAAGCTATTTCTATTAAATCCGTAATTACAATTTTGTAATTAACAATCTATTGCCAATTAGCATGCTAGTTAGTATCAAAAGTTTTATACATAAGTATTCAACAGCACTGAAGTTTTTTTTTTTTTTGTTTTTTTTTTATCTTTTTTTTGTCTCTGATTAAATCATTTTTCTAATGTCTTCACATTTCTCTATCATAGTTCTGGTAACCACCAAAAAAAATTCAAATGCTCTTACCCATGGCGTAGCCAAGTATCAATCTTTCAAAAATAGCTTCTATTTTATTTACTGGAAATACTTCTACCTATTTCAAAAACCATATACAGAATTTTCCGTTGGTGATATAGTATCATTTTTAGGAAAGTTCATCATAGAAAATCTCAAAAAATATGCAATTATATCTCATGTTAGTTTAATCGCCTCAGGTGATACCAACCAAGAGTTCACAGCAGAAGAAATCTCTATCAGTATTTCTCATTGCATGTTTCTAGTAATGGTAAAACAGAAAACAAGCACGATCAGAGAAACAACATATTTTGATTCAGAATGCTATCATTACAACTCTTATACTGGTAGTCATAACGTTCTAATAAAATTGAGAATCTTATTTTTTACCCAATCTCTGAGATTTACTTATTTTCAAAATGCCGTTAAAGTGGGCCACTTATTGCTCATTTTGGGCTTTTTTTAATGTATAAGAAGCAACATTATTTACATCAAAACCATGAACATTGATTATATTAACACATCTAATACTAATAGCAATGTTCAAGAAATTCTTTTTTCTGTCTCAAGTTCTGATATTAACCTAATTGTAGATGAAATCGAATCTACTAACTCTCAAACTACCAAAAAAATCCAAGTTTGTCAAAAAATACTAACCAAATCACAAGCCCTAATATTCTATTTCCAATTCCGGTTCAAGTTTAGTTTTAAATACCAAATCTGACCAAGATAAAGGCCAAATCGATGAAAATGAAGTTTATGAGGATGATGAAGACTCAAATTCTGATTTCAAAGTCATTGAAAAATCAGAACAAAATAAACTAAAAAAAAGAAAAAGATAGAAACAACATCAGGAAATTTTTTAAGCTGATAGGTTACGATTACCAACAATTAATAGATTATTATTGATTAAATTTAATCGATAAGAACTGAGGTGGTGATTGTAATTGTTAGATATTCTTATAGATTTTAATTGATAATGTTACTAATCATTAATTTACTATAAATGATTATTATCGATTAATTTTTTATCGATAATTATCGATAAAAAA